TGAACATACACTTGCATCTGTAACCTTGTATCAGATCATTCTAGGATTTTTTTTTTTTTTTTGGGTATATTAGAAAATTAATTACTTAACAATATCGAAATTTGAATCTTTGATTTTGATTTTAAATTAAAATTTTTAAGTTAGTGAATATCAATTCCACCAAACTCTTATTAGCCTGTTAGATCATTCTAGTTGTTTCTTGAGTATCTAATTTGAATAAATAATTTCTCCACATCCTAAAGAATTCAAAATTTCAGTTGCATTAATAAATAAATAGAGAATCATTTTATGGGTCATAGAGGCCCATTTAGCTCTTTTAGGTCTCAAAATTAATAGTTCTTCCTTACATCAAAAAGAGAGAAAATTTTAATAGAAAAGTGGGATTGATATAAAAGTTGTATATTTGCTCTTTTCATTCTATTGAGAGTATATTGTTGTATATATCTATTTTTTTAATTACGTACGAAAATTATAAATAAAAATTTTATTAAAAAAATTGTTTACATATATCATTATTCATCAATAAATAAGATGTAAGGATATATAAAAAAATTATAAAAAGAATAGTTCTCTCCTAATTATTTTCCCATATTGCCGGCCAGGGATGCCACAGTTCGCCCCTATTTTCTAGCTCTATGTGAAATTGTGAAGAGCATCAGAAGGCAAAACTTCTCTAGTGGTTCAATGGAGCTCATTCCGATGGCTTTGGAAAGTTTGAAATTTTTCCATAATAATGAATAAATTTTCTGGTTTCTATCTAATTAAGTAAATAAAAACAACCCCTTGAAACAATATTCTCAATTATTGAGATTGCTGAATTGAATTGAATTGAGTCAAAAGTTGCAGATGAGCTGAATTCTAGAATACAGAATTTGCAGTTTTACTTACACATGAATTGCAGAACTTTGACTCCAAAAGCAATGCCTAGAAAAGTTGCAATGGCGATTCCAAAAATACCTGCAAGGATACCGGGAACCACCAGAGAGCTCCACCGTTTTGCAGTGGCCATGCCGCATGCTGTGGTTGGGCCTCCAACATTAGCATTTGATGCCAGAAGCAAGAGCCTTTGCTCAAAGCCAAATAGCTTGCCCAATCCAAGTATGACAGCAAGATGGACAGCAATCTGAACTAGAGCAAACATGAAAATACTGGGTGCTGTACCGATGACATTCCATATGTTTCCACTTGCACCCACCACCGTGAAAAATACCTGTTACCCAAAAAATTACTTGTGGGAAAAAACTTCATTGGCAAAAGGATGGTCTTTACATATATAATGTTGGGAGGTAATTAACCAACCTGCATGAGAATTAGAGCCATAGCCTCACCAGCAGGTGCAAGATGATTAAATTGAGTCGGAAATGCAGTTGCTAGAATGACAACAATTGCTGTAATTGCTGGTAAGCTACCACCCGGAATGCCAAAAGATTTTGTGAGAATAATGGCAGCTTTGCATATAGTAAAGGATACAGCAAGTGCAGTACCCATTTCCAGCACAGGAAGTTTGCCACCAGAATCAGACCCCTTATCCATTGCCACATCTGTTAAAGTGCCTTGTTTTATTAGTGTCTACATCTTGTTGAAATACCATAGTGGAAACATCTTATGCATTAATGCCACTGTTGGAAAGGCTACAGAAACGTCAAATGTTTAGACCTCCCTTTTTCTTTTCTTTTTTTGAACTGGGCAATTGGAGGAGGGGGAAAACGTCATCCATGGGGCTTGAAACCGCACCCCACGGGTGGTGATCCTCATTTAACTGAGGGTCCCAGCCACTAGGCCGGGGCATGGGGATCATTAGACCTTATGCATAAAGGGGATTATTGAGGGAGGAAAAATTGTTTTAACATGTTAAAAGTGCTTCACAAGACAAATTTAAATCCACAGTATCTTCAGGATGAGTGCTTGGCCAACAATAACAACATACTCATGGTGAAGATAATGAAAGTGGATACAGATTAAAGAGTTCTGCACACCTGTGTTTGTTGAAGTCTCAGCAGGAATCTTAGATGCTAATGCAAAAAGTGTTGTAAAATAAACTGCACAGATAAAATTATCTGCAGCTAGTCCAGCCGCTAAAACTGATGGAGAAACACCAAGGGCATCAGAAATGGCAACATAATTGACAGCTACACAAACATCAAAAATGAAAACCTCATTAGTCATGATAGAAAACTACGTAGAAACTACAGAAGCATCAGAATCAGATCAGATTTATCCATCATGGGCCTTTGAAACGAAAAATAATTTACCTCCACCAATATGCCTACCCATAAGGGCAGCTGCCATTTTCCAACTATCTGCACCAAGAGACTGCATGGGCACTATCAGATATGCCACTGCTGTTCCAATTGTTGTTGCAACTGTCAAGCAAAAATAAGGAAAAAAAAAAAAGAAAAAAAAGGGTCATGAGCACCAAATGGACTATTTACAGAAACCAAAATAAAGGCTTGTGAATAATTAGTTATATTCAATTCAGTCTCATAAATTCGGTTATGCTTCTGATATTAAAATCACAACCTTCTAATTTCAAATCTATTATGTACTTGCTCGAACATGACTCAATTGTTTGTGAACCATAATTACCTGATCCCAGTAAGAAAGCTTGGAGTAGTGTCCCAGTTGACTGAATCACTCGACGCATATCTGCTCTAAACAACAACAACGGAACAGCTAATGGAAGTAGGAACTCCAACACAATTGCATAAGCTTTAGCTTCACAGGAAATAATTCCCAAATTACTAGCTGCAAGCCCCACCAAAGTGCTCACAAGAGCACCACTTAATGTACTTCCAATTTTTGTTTTCTCTGACCTTCACATTCAAACAACAAACATTCCCAATTTGAGAATAACTTCACAAAACCTTAATGCTACTAAAAATGTAACAAAATCTGCAATTCAGGTAAACAGTGACTCCAATTCCACAAATTAAAATAACAGTTTTCACTCGACATTCAAAAATCACATCCTCATCGGAAATTTGGAGAGAGGGTTTTTACTTTTACCAGATACCAAAAGCGCCGGTGGCGAAGAGAGCAGTCCAAGTGCCCCACTGATCATTGGGAGAAATGAGAGGGAAACTCAACTGTGATCTAACAACCCCTACTGCTCGGATCCTGCTTGGGTTTTCCGGTAACCACCGAGGAGAGAGGAAGGTTTGGCTTTTATTAAGGGACAGTGAGCTTCTTGATGAGGATGATGAGAGAGATAGTTGTTCAGGAATTGAGCTGCTTGCCGTTGAGACAGCGTGAAGGTTTTGGCGGGAGTAAGAATGCGACCGTTGGAACTCCGTTGACGGACGATGAATTATTACTTGTCGGAAGTGTAGCTGGGACGCCATGTGAATCGAATCTCAGGCGAAGAGACTTAAATGATTCGCAGGAAGACAACCTCCTCCGAGCATTCAGACTAGGAGCTCAAGGGAAAAGTACCCGCGCTTAAAAACAGTTTTTTGTGGCTGTCCTCACGCTTTCTTTTCTCAACGCAGAATACTCTAAAAGACAAGTTGACATAAAATATCAATATGATTAATATCTAGTACAACTTTCAAAGTGGGATCTACCGGTAATTACTATTAAATAGGAAATAGAAAAAAAATTAATTTTTTAAATATATATATTTTTATTTTAATTATATAATAAAAAGCAACCATTTTTTATCTCTTATCTCACTTAAGTCATATGATATGTGATTTGAATTTATAATCTCTTACTTTTAATGATGTTACTGAGTTATTTAGATCGTTGGCTTTTTAAATATATTATAAAAAAATATTTTGATATTAATAAAATTAAAATATTTAATTATAATTATTAAATATGTGATATATAATGTAAATCTTTGTTTTATTAAATTTATTAGGTAATTATTATTAGATATTTTAACACTTTTAGTACTAAAATGTCTTAAATTTTCTTCTTTCTTCTTTTTTTAAAATATTAATGTACTAGAAATACACTTTTAAAATTATTTGAAAAAAATTCATCATAAAATACACAAAAATTAACTAAAAAAATACTTACTCATAAATAAACAAAAAAAAATGTAGTAGTTGAGAATATGGTTATGGCATGCATTCATTTGTTAAGGTCATACTCAAAATATATTAATTTTTTTAATTTAACAATTAAGAGTAATTAATAATTAATAATTATTATTTAATAAATTAAAATCAATTTAGAAATTAAAATTTTTTAAATATAATTATTTTAAAAATACAATTATTAATCAAATTAAATACAATTTATGTAGCCTCAATAAAGTTATGGGTGGCCTTCATTGACAAAGCACTACCAAAGAAGTGTGACTTAACCTCCATCTTGTTTATTAAAGTTTTATTTTATTTTATTTTTTAAAAGAACTTTCTCATTCATTCATTTAATATTTGGGCGAAAAAATTCATTTAATTTCATGTTAATATTATTATTATAAAAATAAAAAATAAAAATGATAGAACACTCTAGTATTGCGTATTTGATAAAATATTTTTTTAGTAAAAAAATAAAAGTTAATACATATTAATTCTAACTCTTTAATTATATATTTTAATATAATCAGCTTTTAAATATGAAAACTCATAAATTTTTAATAAGATAAAATTTTAAATTTTAAATTAAATTTTAATTAAATAAAACAACATTTAAAATTAGTATTTTAATTTTTACTGAATCAAACTAATTTGTACTTTATATATGTATATATATATATATATATCGTTACAGATCTTTTTCTTTTTTTTTAGAATATTCATGAAAAACGCTCCTAAGAGGGTTGATAGAGAATTAATGAATTTGTAATCAAATAATACCACATGAAATCTGAAACGTTTTTCTTACTAAAAAGGAAAATTGACTGCAATAGAAATGAAATCCTAGAAAACTGATATAATTAACAAAGAATCATGTATCAGAGAATTACAGAATTAAACACTTAAAAAAAAAAAAAAAGGAGCAGAAGAATTTAAGCCAAATTGTAAGATGGAATTTCATGACTTCTGAAATCTGCTCAACCAATTTCATAAAAGACAACTACTTCAAATACAAATTCCGCCTTTGATTCAAGTCAGGTTAACAATATTACTAGCAGAATTAAATCACCCGTGTAAGGTTAGGGAGTTGATCAGTTCTTCATCTGGTGTCACAGTTTCACCTTCGCTCATACCAACAACAGAATGAGAAATCCAGCACAAGTATTGAGATAAGTTCTCGTGGAGACTTGACAGATTTCTATTGGCATCCTAGAATATCATCTTTTGTTGGATGGAGGACCAAAGCTGTTGTTACTAGAGATGTTGGAGAGCTTCTGCTTCTTTGAACTGCCACTCTCTTCCTCCAAGGCCTTCAATTTGTTCTTAATTGCAGTGATTTTAGCACTCCGGCTCATCTGCCCTGAATTGCTACCAGCAATGCCAATTTTAACTGCCTCACCTCCCACTCTAGAAGAATTTTGTGTTGCTTCCTCAATGTATTTCTCACTAGCTAGCCGGACCACCAATGGACGGCCACAAGCTAATCTCCCGTGCATCTTCTCCTTGGCCAATTTAGCTTCCTGCATACTCACTTTACATATAGAAATCAGGAATTGCTTGAAAAGAACAAAATTTTATTTTCTTTTTGGGCCAACGTAAAGAACAAGATAAGAAGCAGAGACCTTACCTCTTTAGTGCTATATTCGATAAAAGCAAAACCCCGGGGTTCTCCACGTTTTGGTCCACGAGTGTGCCACAGGAAGTCCTCAGAAACAATTTTCCCATATGGAGAAAACATCTTGATCAAAGCAGCCCTGAAAACACAACAATATGGAACTTTAATGAAGCAGATTACTTGGAGATCAATTTTCTGCTAGAAAAAGTTAATACTTACTCAGTTATTCTTAGATCAAGGTTGCCAATATAAAGCCTACTGTCATTCTTCTCATCGGTGAAACTGTTAGGATCCTGCACTCAGCCATAAGACCCAATTCAGAATTATGAATGCCTAGACACCGCACAAATTTTCAGCACATCCGATTCAGTATTGAATTTTTTTAAACATAAATGCCCAAAGATGAATTGAGAACATCCAAGATCAAGTCATGCTAGTAAAAGAATAGCACAGCCATTTCCTACTGTTATACACTTATACTCATAATGGGGGCGGTCAGTTCAATTAATTTCCAGAACTTTCAAAATTCAAACCAAGGGTAAAGATGATATCAGTACCCGTAAGATGTAAACCAGCATAAAAATGGCAAACTATCAAAGCACTACAGGCTAGGAACATACAGTATGTAACTAAAGAGCATGATGCAATTTAATATATCAGAGAAGAGGAACATACATCATGTAGCTACAGTGCACAATGTAATTCAATATTTCAGAGAATTTAATCAGGCATGCATTCCAATTTTGATAAAAATGAAGTTAACAATATCTAAACAGAGATATATGTTTTAGACATTGAGCACACATACCATAAAATGCAAAACGACTGAGATAACAACTTGAGTTTCAACCCGAGAGCATTAAAGATCATTAGTCTTTAAAGAATCATCATATTTTGCATCCCCTGCAAGTTTTGCAAGCATATTAAGATCCACATAAACAAGAGAATTGACATGTTACTCCTTTGAAATATATCAACAAAAAAAAAAAATGACAAGTTTAGAATTTTATGAAGTGCATACAAAGTAGGGTCACCAGCAAAAAAAATCATGATACTGACTTTTGATACAATAAATACTGTTATAATTCCACATGCATAATTGTAGCATGTACATTAGGGCATCAAGTTCAGTATTGCAAAAAGCTCGCCTAGGCGGTAGAGTTAGGACTTTCTTCTATTTTTTTAGATTTGCAGTTCTATTTTGGCATTTTTTTTGCAGAAAACTAAAATTACCTAGAGTGCTTAACAGCGCTCAGATGACCCTACGCAGTGGCTCAACGCCCACCACTGCCTAGCGCTTTCTGCAACCTTGAATCAAGTTAACCCGAACTTCCTAGTGTGGTACATATACTTTTTACCCATTAGATCACAAAAAGTCACAGCTTCCATAGTCACCCTGACAGGGGCCCTCCCCTGGAACTAGGGCAGTGACCTCCAGTGTCATAGAAACTATAGAACTGCTATATATGAATTGGGAGAATGTTCTGATTAAGTTGACTCCTAGAGGGGTTTCTAAACAAATCCCTTCCCCTTTATGAAGTAGAAACAGTGGAGGTATCAATGAGATCAAGATAAAGGAGGAAGACAAAACCCTAGTTTTTTGGGTAAAAATTGAAACTTTGAGATAAGTAACCGGAAAATAAAGAAACAGAGAAAAGAACAAAGGGATGTTTGTTTCGATTGGAATACATACCGGCACCGCGACTTCGCCTTTTCTAAAAAATCGCCGGCGCTAGCTAGCTGCTCCGACGAGATACCAGAAGGCAGCCGAAACTGAAACGAAAGAAAGTCAAAGAATAGTACGGTGGCAAACCGTAAAACGGCAGCATTCTTCATCAGATCATATTCGGTTATAAAGTTGTTCTTTGACCTAAAACGACAGCGTTGCATGTCGGCTATACCCCCATTATCCATAGTTATAAAAAAAAAAAAAGTAGAATGGATAAAGTGTACTTTAATTTTCTTATGGCAGAAGGTGCAATTAGCCGCTGTACTTACAATGTTGTGGCAGATCAGTGCCTATACTTTAAACCATCACAAATCAGCCCCTTCACTTCATGCCATTCGCAAAATAACCCTTTTAGTGAGAAAGATGTCATCCAGCCACTTACTCTTTCCATTGCCCATTAAAGCCTAATGAGTTGGTGCTAATTGAGAGCTAATTGGGTGTTGATGTGGACCAATTCACTCCACCTAAGTTTACTGTTCCATCTCCCTTCAATTTACAAGAGCATAATCATGGATTTAACTTAAATATTAAGTAAAGAAGCAAAGGACAGAGAAATGAAGAAGGTAAAAGACAAAGAGAGTAGATTCTCTATTAAGTGCAACAAGATTTGGAGAATCTCAAGAAGGCTTATCTTTGTGGTTTATGACGTATTTCTTTATAATTCCTTACTTAATTTTAGCTAATTTTTATAGAATGAACCCTAATATGAAAAAGTTAGGGTTTTTTTTTTTTTTTTAACGTTATTATCACTTTCACTTTTTATTTTTAAATAGTAATGAAGTTTTATTTGGTTGTTGTGTAGTTGTTATGTGTATTCAATATTATTTAAATTTAGGGTTATAACGTTCCATATGTGGTCTTAGACTCGACATTTTTGTTGTTGTTTTTTTTTTTTTTATCTTTATTCACAAACATGGCTGATGCTGAGTACATATGTGTGTTAATACTTTTTTAAAATGGTCGTTTTGATGATGAGCCACTTGGTGATTATATTGGTAGCGAATGGGTGGCATTTGGGGTCCATGAGATGGCACTGTCCATTGCATAAATCATGGGATTCATAAGGAAGTTAGGCTATGAAGAAATTGAGCCACGTCAAGTATATTTCAAGAGGTCGGGATTTGATCTGAGTGATAAAATCTATTTCAAATCATTGTAGCATTGTTGATATTAGAAAAATCCTTAAAAAGCATGATGAGATATTTGCATATGTTGATCATGAGGATGCCTCATTTGTGCAACAACATGTTATTTTTGGTGAACAAAATGAAGAAGATTTAGGTACCATTACTCAAGACCATAGTAAGTGACAATAAGACAATGTTAATGCTATTTAAAACAATCTATTTTTTAATGAATTGGATGATGATTTAGATGAAAGGATAACTAGTCCTATTAGTAGTGATGATGATGATGAGAGGCAAATAGTTTATACTCAAGCTAGATTTTTCAGAAACTTATATGTAAATGTTGATGTTGAGCAATAGGAGGTTGGTCCATCAAGGATATCTAAATTGCTTGTGAAAAGGAAGATCAACATAAAGCAATAGCAACAACCTAGTGGTGATGCTAGTCTTAGGGTGCATTTGGGATTGCTATGAAGTATTGTGGTTGTAGTTGTGGCTGTGTTTATGCTGTACTGTGTTGTGTTGTACTTGTGATTGAAAGTTATTTTAGTGTTTGTATATTTATTTTTTAAAAGTGCTATAAATTATATATGGTAAATCTTATTAATTATTAATTAAAATTTTAAAAAAATTATATAATGTATAATTACTAAAATAGATACTATTTACTACTTAATAATTTAACTAGAAATCAAATAGTT